TGACATTGTTGCTCGCATTGTGTTTCCTGTTCATCAAGATAATTATGTGGTGCTTCTTCGTACAAAGAAGATTTATTTAGAGCAAAATATTTTTTTTTTTACAATTTTTTTCACAATATGGTTAAAGCAATGGGTAGTAATCTCTATATGTGTATGTATATGTATTGTTAATATATATCATAAATACTAACACAACTACTTTATAATACAATAATATTGAACAAAGGAACTCATTAAGAGTAAACATAATTTCATATTTAAGTCCTAGCAGTAAAAATGTTCCAAAATTTTTCGAGTATAAAAACTTTCTAGACTTCTACTTGTACATTTAAAAATCCAAGTACAGAACTTAGCCAGTTTTGTGTTATTTTCGTATATTTTCAATGTTGCTTTCATGTCCTTACACTGTAGTGCTTCTTCTCGGTAGCCTTATTCAGTACATATTGTTCATACCCAAAGATTACGTCGTGTAGAAAAATTATTTTAAAATATAAACCAGAAGGAAAATGAAGATAGCTGCAAGTTGCACCTTCGCTGCACGTTCTTGCATTATTGCTATATATTTTTTCAGCAATTTTTCTTCTTCTTTCTCCTAACATCCGTTTATGTTTATCGTCGACATGAAGTCAAGGATATGGCTTTTGTTTATTTCCTTTGTTGATGTTGTGTTCATAACTCAGCGTTAGTGACTGAACAGTAATAAACACCATTCTCTTGGTCACGTTTTTTATTTAAATTTTTTTTTTCATATTATAAGTACTTGTTTTTAACAATATTTTTTTTTTCGAATTTTGAAACAAGTAAAAATTTGCTTATAAATTCAAGTACATATATTAAAATAGTAGTTTGAGTTATTAATATGACCAGCTCAATATACGCGGGGAGATTTCGAATAATCCTCAAGGATATAAATTTAAAAAGTTATCGTAAAATATTTACCTCAATATGATTTTTAAAATGCAATTTTCGGGTTCAAACAATTTTTAATTATTTTCCGTTGAATTTAACCTTTCATCGATTTTAATTGATTTATTAATTTTACTTGATTAACAAAATTTTATGTCAATTATTTTACAGAATCAGAACCATTATAATGCATTTTTAGTGATATTTTGATATTAGATACTCAGTGGTGTTTATACAACTAAGTAGTAGCCAAGTTGTCCTTATTTAGGGATAATCTTGTTGTTTCACATAACATTTGGGACAAAGTAAAACAAGCATTTGCAAACAAAGTAAGATATGTCAACATGTGGACACATAAATATCACATGAAATAAGAAGTATCACGTTATATCTCAGAGTACTGACACTTTGTCTTATGTTATTATTATTATTATTTCCTTGGTGTATTTACAATATATTTATTATTATTATTACAGTGTATTTATGTATTAAACTTTGAGTGAAGACACCGCTTTTAGTAAGAGCATAGGGCGAAGCATTGTCCTATTTTAGTTTAGTATAAAGCTCCAAACTCTACGATATGGATTTGCAACATATACATGATTGTATAAATTCTCTTCATTATAAACTTTAAACATCGCACTAAATATGAACCATCATGCTATACTTCAGTTTATTTACTGAAACCTCTCGCTAAGGTAGTTCAATATAAATCCCCAAACTCTACGAGTTACAACATACCTAAATAAGTTTTGAGGTTCTATTAGTGAATATATGATATCAGTTAGTTCAAACTTTCTATCATCAAACGCATCCATTTTAGTCGTCTTCTCTAGCATGATATTATGTTGTAGTGCATTATTGTTTTTTGTAGTCAACTGATATTTATTCTGATTACTTGTTCATCCCAATGTACATGTTTTCAGTTATAACAAAATCAACAGGCCGACAACACTCCATCGCAAAGGTACTGTAGTTCAACAGTATAAGGCAAGCTGTAGCTTTCAATTGACATATTGATTAAATTAACTAATTTCGCAATATTTGACCCTGAAAGGGCTTTATATCTTCTTCACTATGCGGCGGTATAAGTCGACTATTTTTAAAAATTTTTAACACACCTTATTATAAAGATGTTTAGCAAATATCCACACTTTATAAATGTAAGGTTTTCATTTAAAAAATATATTGCAGATTTCTAGCAGAAACTACGAAAAGTATTTCAAATATTAATACACTACTTCTGAAAAATATCTTTAGTTGTTCAATAAATATATTTAAATTAATTAATATGTTTTTTTTATATTATATATATATATAAAGTCCTCTTAATTCGACATCAATCTACAGTAAGAAGTTTTGATCAGGATTTTAGTGTTACATAAAAATTAAAAAAAAACCACTAGTTTAAATAAATATATGAACATAAGTATAAAATTAAAAATTATTTATAAATATTTGTAAATATATATATGTAAATATATTTATTTGATGCTATTCTTTTTTTTTAAATTTATTAAAAAAATACTACCCTTAACATCGACATCTATCTACAGTAACAAGTTTTGATATTCATGTTACATGAAAATGAAAAAAAAATAATACTAGCGTAAATAAATATATCTAAGTATTAAATTAAAAATCATATATAAATAATTTTAAATATATATATTATTTATTATATATTCATCCTAACATCGATTGATTCCTGACACCGACATCCATCTTCCGTAATAAGTTTAAATCACGATTTTAATATTTTTATGAAAATTAAAAGAAAATGTTAACTTAAATATATATATATAAGTATTGAATTATAAATCATATATAAATAAATTGTATATAAATGTTTTATTTATTTGATATTGCTCTTTTTTTAAATTTATATATATGAAAATCACTCTTTATATTGACACCAATCTTCAGTAAAAAGTTTTTATCATGATTTTATTGTTTCATGCAAATTAAAAAAATAATTATAGCCTAAATAGATATATATAAGTATTTAATTATAAATCATATACACATAATTAATTTTTAAATGTATGTTTAATTTGTTTAATATTATTGATATTCTCTAAAAATCGGGAATAATGCATTTTCCTAAATTATGTGATTTTTTTCAAAAAACAAAAAAAAATCGAAATTAATTAAAAAATATTTTTAATTATTTATTTCTTTTTTAAGTTGTTTTGTGTATTTAAAGAATATTTTTTAAGTTCCAAATTTTTCTAAACACTTTGAAATTAAACATGACCACGACATTTGGCAATAACAGTTTCTACGTAATACGAAAGTATTTCACACCTACGTTTCAATAGCACCGACTTAAAAAAAAATACTCACCTGGCGGGGGAGCACATCCAAGAGGACAAAGTAAACAATTTGTACCAGATATATCTATCTATTTGTATGTTGTAACATTAAAACAATCTTTTGATTTTGAATTGGATTTTGTTTTTAAAATAATTATTTGCAGCGAATAGATTGAGGACGGTCGCTGCCTCAGGGCTGCTTTAATTTATTAAATAAATTTTTGATTAACTATTTTGATGAAAGATTTCCATTTTCAAAATTAAACAATCATATCAACTCAAAATCCAATCAAGGTTAAACAAATAAAATAATTTGCATTATTTTGATTACTAGTACACAATTGAAGTGTATTGAACGTATTTTTATTGAAAATATTTTAGCATTTTGTCTATCAAAATTGAAATTCAAATATATTTTTTAAAAGAAAAAAAAATTATAATGCATTTGGCACTTACTAATTATTTACATTACAAACTTACATATAGTAATTTTGTATATATCTAAAATGCAATAATTCCTTTGAACTTAATTGAAGCAAACAAAAAGAAAAAATATCAAATAAAAAGTGAAAGTGAAAAAATATTTAATAATTACTACCTCAAGCCCTCTAAGTATTGTCGGTTGAGATTTTAAGTTCTCCTTGGCCTTGCTCAGATATACAAAAGAATCAGCTGTACGAACCAAAACACGTGTACATATGAAGGGCGCGAGCAATTAAAATAATAAAATACAATCTACAAACTTACAGTGAGTGAAGTCAGTAAACACAGAGAAGTGTGTGAGCAAGAATAAGCCATCAAATCTCCTCGTTTAAGTTCTATAGTTTAATTTGATGCGTGTAATTATATAAATATATACATTTACATATAAATGTTGATTTCATATACATTTATATATATATATATTATAATTATATTTTCCATCATGTAATGTGCAATACTCCCAAAACAAACAAATTGTCTTTTAGTATATCCGTGCGTAGAGTAAATGTTGCGAGCACGTCCAACAGTTTGTTTTATTTCTGTTCAATTCTTGTGTTATTCTCTTAAATATAAAAAAGCGCAAGTCTATAGAGTGTGAAGAGATACATTTTTTGTTTTAACATTGAAAAATGTTTTTTTTTTTAATTTGCATGTTACACGAACTATGTTAATGATAACATAACTAAAAGAAGTAAAATTATCAAGAGGATAACATTTTATGTTGCCAGAAGTGTGTGTACCAAGCAACATGTATATAAGCTTAAGTTAACATGTATGCAAGCTATACATTTTCATTTGATTGTATTCAAGCAATCAAAGTAAAAAAAATTTGCTAAATGTTGTTGAATTTTTTGAATACTAATTCCATCAATAATAATTGCAATATCATCTTACCATGTAAAATCAGCTATCAACAGCAAATAAATAATTATATAAGACTTTATTTACTAAAACTATAAAAAGGTAGTTATTTAATTCAATGATTAAGTTATTAATCAGTTTAATCTAAGAATTATATCAACGTATATATGAATTTTAACACAGTAAATATATTATGAGTTTTTAGTTTTTTTGCAATTAGTATGGCAATATAAATTATTAGATATAATCTACATCGGATTGCACATCACTTATCTGTTAAACTTCATATACTTAAATTAATTAAAATTTTCTTATTTAAAAAAAATGTTGCGATGTTTCTCGTAATGTTTAAAAAATGTTTAATTAATTTTTACATTCATTATAAATTAAAAAAACATATCCCTGTATGCATTTATTCTACATTATTTGAAAAAAAAAATTATATTAAAATTTTGTTTTATTTTGATTAATGCATTGTTGTCGTATAACATTAACTTGTATTGCTAGGTACAAAATTTTAATAAATTCATGTAGACATCTTTGTTAATTAAGTTCAGGCTGTTTGATCATCTCAAAGCAAAACTTGGAACAAGATCGTATGACGCCAAATTTAACCAACTCACCCATGTAAAAATTCAACATATACATGGAATGGCGACCCAAAGTTACACGTTCGTATTCCTTCATAACAAATTTTTTGATGGCATTACGAGATATTTTAGCTTTTTTCTCAGTCAGCGTCATAATAGCTCTATCAATCATATTCTTGTTAATATTACGAGACTTTGAAAGCTTAGGTCTACCATATATACGACGCGGGCGGTTAATCCTACGACGTTTCTTTGGTCTTGCACGTCTCCTACAAATTGCTGCTCGAGTCTAAAAAATATTTTATTAGAACTTTATAGTTAAATTTATTGATAATTTACCATGATTTAGAGATTTCCTAAATATTGAGATAAATTTATATACACTAATAACAAATATATAAATTTTTTAGTTGGAACTAATTCGAATCCATATGTATATAAATTTTTTGTTTTATGGAATAAAAAACTTTTACAAATATTCAAGTAAAATTTTCTATCCAAATAATAAAACTGGAATACTAGATTTTTATCAATTCCATTAGGTATTTAAGGTGTAATTCAAATCTTTTTTATGGAAGAGATTTACTCAAGCAGTAAATATGCAAATACTAGATTCTTTCTAATTTCACTAAATACATAAGTTGTAATATAAATGACTGATATTATTCTAGTCAATAATCCTAGATGGTATAATATAATTGTTGTGTATACTAGAATTTTCAAAAGGATAAATCTTTAAATTGTATTTCCGGACTACGTATATTTGTGTTGATGTAGAAATATTGTAATATTTTTAATAACTCAATTTCACTTTTTATTCGCATGCATTGTCATATTGGAGACTGGGTTAGCTTACTCTCTGCTGAATCATGCTAGACTAGTGTAACCCTACAACGGATTTCGGCATCTACATTAATTAGTAATCAATTCACTTGATTACTAATTGATTCAATTATTTATTCCAAACGGTACAATATTTATTTCTAAAACATGCTTTTTCTTAATGTGTTAAAATACGACTGAATATTTTGATCACTGTTCACAGTATCAAATTTCTATAGAGGTAGAATTCGATATTCTTGAAAGATAGTTACAGATTGTACTTTATGTTATAAATAAATTAACCGTCTTTTATATATCAAATAAACAGCGTAATCATAATTATAATCAGATAAATGTACAACTGTATAATTGAATGCTTTTGATATTTTTAAAAACAATCTAAATAATTTATTCCTTCATTAATACAAATAACAGTGTGTACAAGTGTTATTATTAACATTAAGTTGCAAATGCTAATAACATCGTCTGTTTGGCTACAAACAATTGAAAAATCTCGTTTAAACTAAAATACGCACTGTTTTTGCGCCCACTCATCTCATTTGAGTGGTGACTATTATTTCGTGGTGAATATATTTTCTGTTATTGTAAAATTTATTTTAATGTAAAAGCCTTAAGTCGCAACACAAACTAAATAGTCTGTCAAAGGATTCTCGACGTATACGTAGTAAAAGCGGAAAAAGTAGAAATATTCCTGTCAATATATATAGTAATATTTTTGAGTGCTGTTTTAGTGATTTGTGTGAAATAATAACAAATTATATTCATTAATAAACTGAATTTAAGAAATACCACAATTCTCAAAGTAAATATAAATTAAATTAATTAAACATTTTTAAATTTTGATATTTACGTATTAAAACAGTTATTCGTTTTCATTTCCTATTAAGTTTTTGTTTATATACATTGAATGTAATATTAGTGAGTATTCATATCCTACCACAGTAGTTTATGTGGCGTTATTTTACTGATAAGAACATAAATATTTATTTAAAAAAATTTTTTTTTTAATATAAATTATTATAAAATATTAATTCTGAAATACATTTTGTTTTTTTATAAATTTTTAAGCACTCATAACTTTCCTTTTGCTTTATTTATTTGATATGTTTGAATTTTTTACGTGAGAAAGTTTTAACATGAATTAAAAAATTTTTGTAAAAATAAAATTTTGAATATATTATTTATGCGTTTTAACATTTATTTTGATGTATGCCATTTACACATTAAATAAATTTACCGACGGAATGTTACGGTTATTGAATAAAGTCACTTAGATATTGTCATAAAAATTCATAAAATAAAATAAATAATTTGAAAGTAATTAATAATTTAAAAAAATATTTAAAAAATATATTGTTTTATTTTCTTATTACGCCAAAAATAAAAATTCAGTTAGTTATATACTGAAAATCGTTTAGGTTTAAAATTCGATTCATTGTATAACTTAGGCAATCTAAACTTATAGACTTTTCTGATTTTAAAAAAAGTATCTATTTAAAATTGTTAATACAATGTATAATTTATTGTTGTAATAATAATTCATAAGTTTTTCTTGTAGTTTTATTGATCATGTAGAATAAATCAAAATAGATCAAAGAGTAATATTAAAACCTAGATTATAAAAGGAATACTTCACTCTCTTTAATGATTTGCATGCAAAACCTTAAGGACGAACTATAATTTTAAGTAAAATAAAACTTTTTGAATTGAAAGTGATCTCTTTTCGATATAATTTCTATGTAATATATAATAATATAATATATTTCTATATAAAAAATTTTTTGTTGTAATTTCACTACTGTTCAATAAAAATCTCTAAATTTTAAAATAAATGATGACTTGTAGTGAAATTAAAATACTCATGGCAGAATTTTCCGTATATTACATTAACTGTAAGATACTAAAAATATTCATACACAATTTATACAGAAGTAACAATTAATTTCATTTCAAAATTATAATATATTCTTAATAATATATATTTGTGTTATGACTGATAATAGATACTTTAAAGTTTAGTATTATTCACTCTATGAACTTTTAATAATTTAAAAAAATTTAATAAGAATTTTAAAATTTGAATAACTAAGATTTGTAACCCATTAGCCACTCTCAGCTGATAAATGAGTCCATCATTACTTCTAAAATTTCGACAGGTTTAAAATTCTAAGCTTGAAATTTGCAGTCCATAAAATTATGTAGGGACAAATAACCCAATAAAAATTGTTTCTAAAGACTACCGATGACGAGTATTTGGCAATATTCGAAGAAGATGTAAGGTCAACCAAAAAATTCAGTCAGTTATATATATCAATTTTTGTCATTGGAGTTCATTACTATTTGAACCTATCAATTAAAAAAAAATTATTCGTAAACATATTTATATAGTTACTTTGCGATTACTAATAGAATAATTGGAGTTAAGTTCCTGCGTACACCAATTTGACTAAGGATTGTAGTATAGCTATTATGAGCAATTTTATCTACAACTTTTTATATTAATAAAGCTAGATATCAGGCTTCAAAGTTGGAAATTGTTATATATCAACCATGTTATTCCTTGTATTTAAACAATTTAGGAACTGTTTACAAATATATATAAATAGAAAATGAAGAAATATACTACTGAACGCTAAATGGCGTATGTAGTTATTTTGTTAGAATAATGCTTTATCACAACTTTAAGGCTCGATAACTCGATATATAAGCTATATCGGCACATGGTATTTTTCTAACATGGTATGTTAGAAAAATGTGTTGCAAATAGCGGATTCTACTAAAACATATCGTCAAATCAACGAACCCGGAACATTTCAGTCGCAACAGGATTCAAAGTATTTTAACCGAACGAAAAAGCAGGTTTAAACTAGATTAAACGACAAAATAGATGTAAATTGCTCGTAGAGCATATGGGCGTGTAGCCAACATTTTTATCTGACAATACATTATTCAAGATTTTTATTTGAAATATATCTGACATTTTTAAAATGTGTTGTGGTGCTTAAAAAATTAGTATAAATATAAATATATAAATTAAATAAATAACAGAATAATTTGCTTTCCAATTTATAAGACCTTACATTATATTTAAAATTGAATTTAAAATTGTTTTTTAAGGTATAGATAAAGACCTTTGAATTGTATATATTTAATTATTATTTTACAAAAAAATAAAAGACTGAAATAAACAAATTAAAGGACAAACACTTTTTAAGGTCAATGCAATTAAAATGACTAATTAATTTAGAATTATTAATGTACATCATATATCACGTGTTCTCTAGTTTGAGGAGATATATTTCTTGGTAAAAATATTTAACTAAGTATTTTACAATTTAAATGGTTTGAGAAATATCATATGAAATTTTATATTTTAACAAATTTTATTCACATTTTTAATTAATTTCAATAATTAAATTATTTTAATTAATAATGAAAAGTATAAAAATAAAATAGTAAAAACATTATTTAAGCAAAATATAAGAAAACCTAAATAAGATTTATATAATGACAAAATAATAATCATAATTTATGACATAATGTAGGAACAGGAACCGGATGGGATGACGTAAAAAAGCAGCTTAATTTATATGTGCGGAATAAATTTATTTCACAGACTTATTTGGTCTGCAAAGTTTGTTTATCTATGGTAAAAGCATATTTGTTGCGAAAGAAAAAATAAAATTGTGTTGGTTTTTTCTCTGATTACAAAATTATTGTTTTAGTTTGTTTACATAGTTTTCATCTATAACATATTTGTTAATATGATTTTGAAACCGTTATATATTATAATAATGATAGAAAAGAAAATATTATATGCTTTAATTTTTTTTTTGTCAAATAAATAAGAAACGATATAAGAAAATATCTAATAAAAATAAAATTGTGTTTAATAATAAAACATGCTTATCAGATAAATAAAATGGTTATAATAATTTTACACTTCGAAAACATTATAAATTTTTATATAACAATAATAAGACACTTTTATAAAATTAATACAGTTAATAAGACAATTATATACGGTGAAATTGTATAACTTGATATGTTTAAAATATTTACAATTTTAAATAAATATATAATATTAATAACTAAGAATAACAAACAAAGAAATATGAAGAAACAATAAATACTTAAAAAGTAATATGAAATTATTTTATTAAAAAAGTAATATGAAATTATTTTTTTTTTTATATTTCTTTGTTTATTATTCTTAGCTTTTAATATTATATATTTATATAATAGTGTAATAATAAATAATAATATTAATAAATAATAATAAATATAAAAATACTCTTTCATTCTAAATTATTTTTTCATATTATATAAATTTGTAATTATTTAGAAATATGAAGAAAATATGTACAGTTTCTAAAAAAGTTTTAATTGAAATTTTAATGTATATTATGTATAAATAATATAATTTCTTTGTTATAAATTGGTTTTTTATTTTATATAATTTTGAAAATTTTTGGATTAATTAAAATACTTGAGATATATTAAAAAAAAATATCATTATAAATTTTAATATATTAATATAACAATATTAGAAATACAGCTAGTATAATAAATATATAATTTATTACATT